TCTCTTTCATTTAATGCCTATTTTCATAATCATATCAACAATTCACATATATAAATAAAGTGGAATAAATTGAAATACTACTTCATAAATATAACAAATATGCATTTGCAAATGTATAAAATTTTATTATTTTATATGCATCATTTGATATCTCATCTCGTCCTCTAAAGAAGTTAGGTAAATTCATTCTCCTAAAGTACCCTTGCCTCATTTCCTCTTATATACGATATAAAGTATAATTATTTGTCATTCAAATTTGCATTCAAATAAAATATAATAGTTTATATGAAAACCTTTTAAGTTTATCTTCATTCAAGCCACTCCCTCCCTCAGCTCTCTCTCTTTCTTAACTAAATTCATTCACATCCAATTTAATTTGTCTTCTTACTATTTTTTTTCAGCGGTTGATTTCAATAACTGCGATAGCATTTTTGAAAAAAATCAGCAACCACCATTACTTAATATCAACAAACAACAATGCATTTACCTGTTCTTATCTTTTGCTCTTCCTTTTCTCATTGATTTCAACAATTTACAGCAACAACACCTGATTTCAACAACCCAATTTAGATTCCTGAATTTAGCAATTCAGATTATTTTTGTTTGAAGCTGTTATTTCCAACAAGTATTAGTATCACAACTGTTATTTGTAGGAAAGAACAACACAAATCATCTTCTTTCCCTCCCCCAAATTTCCCTTCTATTACCTTACTAATTTCCTAACTTTTCCCCAACAAGCAGTAGCCCATAGGCCTTTCCTATGTCTCCCAGTAAGTGGTGTGCTCGTCGGAAGCTGCTTCAGACTCCAAAGAATTGGGCTGCTGGAAGGATGGAATAAATGGGATAATTGGAGGCTGCTTCAGACTATAATGCTTTTATCTTTATATTATAATATTATTAATACCTCCACTAACATATTCTCCTAATGCTAGCCGTATGATTAAATCACAGGCCTTGCATGCATTGAAAGTGAACTAAGTGGAAGGCTACAGTGGGAAAAAAGTGCAATAATTACTTATATAATACTGTCTATTAAGCAATAACATAGTGAAATGCCTATTATATCGGATTCTGCTATCAAGGAATTACTTATCAGTAATAATATATGATTAGTACAATATTATTAATTCTATTACTAAATACTAAACTAATATTTCAATATGCTTCTATATATCAATATACTTGGAATTAAAAGTATAATTTAATAAAAACAAGTTAACCTTTACAAAAAGTTAACACTTACATTATTTTAAACGCTTTAGGGTATTGTAGATAGCCTACTAAGCTGTGTTATTTTATTCTTACTTTTGCTTCCGTTTAAGGTCAGAAAGGGGTAAGGAGCGAGCTGAGTAGTTTAATAGCAGGTTCTAATCTGTGTTATAGGTATGCTTTTTGGCTAGTTTTATTTTTTACAGGCCCAACTTTTATTTTTATCATACTTTTTTGTCAAGTATTATTATAGATAGACCTGAGATTCTATGTATATATAGTTTGGACGATATAAAGAAAAAATATTTTTTATATTTAATCTTCTGCTTTATAGTGTATTCAATGAATTCCAATATCATTAAGGCATTCAAATGACAATTAAACAGTCCATGATAAAGGGGGTCAATATCTACCATCCATTCAAACCACTCCCATTTTGACCTTGATCCTCCATATATTTACAAGTCATGCCACTCTAAAAAAACTATAAATAGTCCCAACTCTTTTCATGAAAAGGAGGAGAAAGGAGGAAGAGAAGGGAAGAATTTGGGAGCTTCCTCGCCGCCAACTGCCGTCGAAATTCCACCCGTTCGTCGACCACCGCAAGAGTTCCTTTCAATCACAGCCGAGGTTCTTGCCGACCACAGCTGAGGTTCCTCCTGATCTCCATCGAAGTTCTTCTTGGACACCAACGGACTTTCGCTCATTCGTCGACCACCACCTGACTTCCGCCAGTCCTTCCTACCTCTGTCACTCACCGACTACGACCCTTCTGACCACGTTCACCCGCCGAATATGATCCTTCTGACCACTGTCACCCGTCAACTATGATCCTTCCACCAAATACAGTCCTTCTGACCTTCGTCGCTCATCGACTACAGCCCTTTCGACCACGTTTGCCATCCGACTATGGTCCTTCCAACCACCGTCGTCCAACTAAGGTCCTTCTGACCTCTACCGCCCCCCAACTACGATCATTTTGATCGCCATCGCCAACTACGGTCCTCCCGACCTCTATCGCCCGTCAACTATGATCCTTCTGAACTCCGTCACCTGCCGCCTACTGTCCTTCTATCCTCCATCGCCAGCCAACTATTGTCCTTTCAACCACCATTGCCCACCGATTACAATCCTTCTGCCGACTATGATCCTTCCGAGCATTGTCACATGACTATGATCTTTTTTGACCTCCGTCTCCCGACCACGATCCTTCCGACTACCGTCATCCAATTATGGTCCTTCCGACCTACATCGCTCGTCAACTATGGTCATGCCACCCAAACAAACATATTAACACTGATTCTTCCAACTACTACCATATAATGCACTCTATATAATGTATATTTCATACTTCGAGCCAATACCTTCCTCCTAAGGAAGGGCCTCATTTGTAATCAATTGCAAGCACTAGTGGATTCATTCAAATTGAGTTAGGCCCCGTGGTTTTTCTTCTTTCAGAGATTTTTCAAATAAAAATTATGGTGCCCCTGATAAACTCTCTAATCAGACTCTCTTATTTGTTTGTGTGTTGGATCTTCGTACAATGCTAAGATGCTAAACTACATCACTCTCTATCGCCACAAATTTTCTAGGACGCAATAATCTTCATCTGGGCAAGGCCTCGTGTTTTTCACTTGTTGGATTTGACATGAAAAACAAGAAGGAAGGAGAGAAGGAAGAGAAGGAATAAGCTCCTCCTCGACCACCACCGGACTTCCGTCGGACCACCACTTGAGGCCCTTACCTCTGCCAGACCATCGCCTGACGTCGTTGCTCCGCTGAATAACCGTCTGACGTTGTTGCTCCGCTGGACCACCGCTTGACGTCGTTGCACCGTCGGACCACCACTTGAGGCCTTGAGCTTCGCCGGACCACCACTTGAGGCCCTCACCTCTGCCAGACCACCGCATGATGCCGTTGTTTCGTCGGACCACCACATGAGGCCCTAAGCTCTGCCGAACCATCACTAGAGGCCCTCACATCTATCAGACCATCGCCTGACGTTATTGCTCCATCATACCACCACCTGAGGCCCTCTCCTCTGCCGGACCACCGCCTGACGTCGTCGCTCCGCTGGACCACCATCTGATGCAAAATTCTACCGGACTACCACCTGAGTCCCGGGCTTCTGCCGGACCGCCACCTAAGGCCTGGAATTCTACCAAACCATAACTTGGGACTCGAACTTTTGCTGGGCCACCACTTGATGCCAAGAGTTCTCTCGGAATACCACCATTCTACTACGGTCTTTCGGACCTCCGTCACCTATTATGGTCCTTCCGACCTTCTTCGCCTACTATGGTCCTTCTGACCTCCATCTACAGACAACAGTCTTTTTGTCCCCGATCTCCTGCCAACTATGGTCCTTCTGACCTCTATCGCTTACTATGATCCTTTTGATCTCCATTAACAGACAAAGGTCTTTCTGACCCTGGTCTCCTACCAACTATGGTCCTTCCGACCTCCGTCGCTTACTATGGTCCTTCCGACATCCATTATCAAACAATGGTCTTTCTGACCCCAGTCTCCTGCCAACTACGATCTTTTAGATCTCCGTCTCGTGCTGACTATGGCCCTTCCAACCAGACAAATATGTCTATGTTGATTATTGTAACTCCCACCATGTCATGCGCTCTATATGACATACATTTGTAACATCAAGCCAAGGCCTTCTCCCTAAGAAGGGCCTCATTTGTAATCGACTGCAAATACTAGTGGATTTATTCAAATTAGGCCAGACCCGTGATTTTTCCCCCTTTTCAAGGGTTTCACGTAAAAACTCTGGTGTCTCTTATAAACGATACACCCTCTCTCTTATCTGATTGTGTGTTGGATCTTTGTACTATCTTAAGACGTTAAACTAAATATTTCTCTACCGCTGCGAATACTCCAGGACGCAACAAAGGTAATAAAGATTACACATTATCAGAATATGATAGTACTAAGATAACATATTTATATAAAAGATACATTTAAAATTTATATTTTTTATAAACTAATAAAACATAATTTGTGAATAATAACTAATATATTTATTTATAAAAGGATTTTAAAAAATGTTTTGTTAAGGCTCTGTTTGGGATATTTTTTTATTGATTCTTAAAAAAAATTTCTAGTTTAAAAATTAAAATTTTTATACTAAAAAATTACTTTAAGAAGCAGTAAAAAAGCTAGCCTAAGCGAATTCTAGTCATCATTTGACAGTTTTTTTTACTGCTTCTTAAAGCAACTTTTAGTAAAAAAATTAAATTTTGTACTAAAAAATTATTTTAAGAAACAATAAAAAAGCTGTCTCAAATAAAACGTTACTCAATTAATTTTACTTAATATTCTGATAAGTTTCATACAAATATTTATATAAAATATAAATTTAAACGATAAGTTATAATACAATATTTAATGAATCACTATTTATAAAATATATTAATTATTAATATTCTCATGATAAATTATAAATTAATTATATATTTTGAATTCTAACTCATAGAATTCATTTATATTTAAACATTTGAATTATTGAAATCATTTTAAGAAGTAAAAATAAAAAGAAAAAATATATTTTGATAGAATCACATATATTTTTTTTAAAAATAATATTATGAGAGAGACGTTCGCCAAATTTGAAGTTGACTATTTACCTCTTCTTATTAATCAAATTAGTAATGACCTCAGAAGGGTTGAGTGAATCTTACTTAGTGATGCTTCTGCGATACGCGCGTTTGATGTTACCGTTTGGTTCGGTTCGGTAATCACTTTGTGTGCTTTATAAACTATAATGAAAGAGCCGCTCAACTTCTACAGAAAAATAATCATTCGAAATAAAAAAAGCTTAATTGAGAGAAAAAAAAAAAGAGAAGTCACGGAGAAAGAGGGGGACGTTGATCGTCGGAAGAGCGATGTCTTCGTCTTTCGATGCCTTCAGCAACGATGGGGATGCGGCGGCTAGGGTTTCGAGCCACCCCTTCGACGACGAGAGCTACATGGGTTACGAATCCTACTCGAACTTCACCGGAGACGACCAATCGAATGGCCCAAATGGGACGAGCGACTACGTCCCCGACGGGAGCTTTGGAAATGCGGAGGTCCCTGTAGATCATGCGATCTCTCCGGAGCACTACGGCTTCCAAGCCGATCTGCAACAGCAGTATCCTTCGGCTGCTTCGCCGTTCACGATGCATGAATCCAATGGGCATGTCTATGGTGCCGAGGAGAATGGTGACATCTTTGTATCTGATGGGCCTATTCTTCCGGAACCGGAGGAGATGAAGGAAGAAGGGTTTCGTCTGCGGGAGTGGCGCCGGTGAGAAGACTTTCTGTTACAGATCTGATATTTCTTATGCGTAATTGTTAGGGATCTAGTTTGGAACAACGTCGATCGTTTTTTACAATAATCGTCGAATGAAGGCAGAATTTTATATATTAATGCATAGATCTGAGCATATCCTAGTTGCCTTATGATAGGATATTTATGGTAAATGATATTTTTTGTAGATCGTTTATAGGTTTCAAGGTTTCCCGAAGATGCTGATTTATTTAAACAATTACTTTGCAATATTTTCTCTGTGATTCTAAATCTTTCTTTCCTTATGTTCACCTGTAAATGGCCGATTTGCAATCTCAGAGACATCATGCAAATGCTTTTGTTTTAATTTATTTTTTGCTTGCCTCTGTTTTCCTGAGGCAGATACATGGAAAATATCTTGGTTATTCTCTGTTTTCGTAAATTGCAATTTAAGTACATCATGGACATCAAAGAAGACTTATTCTGGGAATTTTCTGAAAATAAGAGCATTAAGTATTTTGATCAGCCGAGACTTTCAATTCACTTTTTATGAATTGGATGATGAGGCTATTGATCATATATATATATATATATATATATATATATATATATATATAATGGTGGCTAGATGGTGGCAAGCCTACCTGGTCAATGCACGTGAAATAAAAAATGACCAGCTAGATTCATGAATCTATAAAACAATTTTTGTGGACTATATAATACAGTTGTAGGTTTCTTTTGAGTGAGATTTTAGCATAAACATCACTTCGAGTTGCCTACTAAGGGACATGATTCATCTAATATGGAATTCTGAAGAAAAAGAGAGAGAAACTAAGGAATTCATATTGCACGACATAAGCATGGATATTCATAATCAAGTATTATTATAAAAATAAAGCAGCTATGTTGAAAACATGAACCAACAACCACACAAGAATCTACACCTGGAATAGATATAATAAAACTATAGCAATTCCTTCTATAACCATGATAGAAGAAAGTAGAAGTATGAGCACAATGGGATCCAAACCGATGCATTTTTTTTTTTAAAATTGTAAAGGGAGCTTGTTGGAGAAGGTATCAACAATAGAAGTAGGTCACTAAAGAAAGCACACGATAGGAGCTTGCTGGATGAGTCATCAATGACAATGTTGAGAAGAGAGCTTGCTGGAGAAGCATAAACGGGACAAATGATGCTTGAAGAAGAAGCATGTGTGAGCCATGTGGCTATGGATTTAATAGACTGGTTTAGGATCTCATGTTAATGAGTTGTTGAGACTTAATCGATAAGATTGAAACGAGATTAAGGATTTGAACTCAAAATATACGGTTGTGATTTAATTGAACCTTGAGCAAGTACCATAGCTTTAATATTTGTTAAACTTCACGGTTCCTTCTATGTAGGAGCTATTGCACAACACACTCTGCCGATAAATGTACCCATGTAGACACCTAACCCAACATTGCTCTCCCAAGTGACCCCATGTGCAACTTTTTGTACCTTACCTCAGTGCATCATCATGCCCAGTGCTCTTGCCCACGACTTGTTGATGTTTTACATGCACCCCCTACATAACCTAACCTTCTATCGTGCACGACTCCACTATTGCATGCTCCCTCATGCACATCCTTTGTAACCTCATCACTTGTTTGCCAGTTTCCACCATCGTTTTAACTTGTATGCCACTACCATGATGAACATACAACTTTATCTTTAACTCATTGGTTTATGTGCTCTGTTTGCACTTGCGCCTCTCTCATGGCTTCCCCGCCACATGCGTACGCCTCTCATTGCTTCTAACTGTACCTCTTCTCCTCGCAACATTGCACTTATTCTTACAATCACTTGCATCAAAACACCCTATTGTGTCCCACATTCCTTCACTTCTCTATTTCTCCAAACCCCAAGTGCTAAAGCTTTATGATTTCCAGATAGCCTTGCCTTTTTTCCTTGTTGTACATTGCTCTGCTATTATGCACTTATGACATCTCCACCTCTTCACCATCTACTCAAATCATTAGCTATAACATGTTTGTAGTCTATCTATTCCTGCCCGCTCTCATCTTGGCTAGTATCAAACATGCAACACTCAGTGTCACACAGTCAAATGTTTACTTACTATTCACCTTCAAAAATAATATCCATACATTGTTGCAGTCAACTTATTGATTACACTCTTATCTTGGTTACTATCAAGCATCGAGCACTCATGATCGAATGGTGATCCATTTTCACCTAACTTTCATTTATTAATATCTAGAGGACGCATCCACCTAAATCGAGGCAGACATGAGCCTACGATTCCACTAACAACACTTTGATTACTTCCACATGGATGCTTGATAACAACCTCCTTACTATATCACCACAGACTTAGCAATCTCTAACCTTACACTCTATATGGTGGCCTTAACAATGGTATGAGTAAACATGGTATGAGTTTACTCATAACTTACACAATTTCAAACTCTTTGTCCTCTACCTCTTGCAATTTCCTCTTAAATTATATCCTTTGTGTAACTAGTATGAAAATAATTTACATATTATTAGTTTTGTAATTCTAACCAATTATCCATCATATTACTACCGACTAAGAATCTATTAAAAAAGAGCGATCCTTGTGATGGGGGCTAAATAATGATGGTGTGCATGAATTGTCTATTGCCTCAACGTGTTATTTTTTCTTTTGTCAATACTTCTTCACCTTAAATAGCAACAACAACAACATCATCAATTCTTTATCCCACTATGTGGGGTCGGTCTCATGAATCTTTTTTCTCCATAGTGTCATGTTAAAAGTCAAATCCTCATTTAAATCTTATAAAGAAAGGTCATATCTAATATTTTCTAATTAAGTTTTTTTAGTTCTACCTCTACCTTTCTTAACATAAGCCAAATCTAATACATCTAGTCTCCTAACCAGGTCATTTGAAGGCCGCCGTTTTATGTGACTAAACCATCTAGCGCGATTCTCTCTAATCTTATATTCCACTAAAGCTACTCCAACCTTTTCATGTATATGCTCATTTTGTATCATGTCTCTTAGAGTAAAATCACTCATCAACCTGAGCATCCTCATTTATGCAACACTTAACTTAATATTATGCTTCTCTTTTAATCGCCAACATTCTGCACCATAAAGCATTGCAGGTCTAACCACTATCTTATAGAATTTTCCCTTTAGTTTGAGGGGGACTTTTCTATCACACAACAAGCCCGTTGCATTCCTCTATTTCAACCATCCAACTTGAATTCTACTAATAATATCCACATCTATTTCACCATCTCTTTGACTAATAGACCCAAGATATCTAAAACGTGTATTCTTATTAATGACTTTATTGCTCGAAGTCACAATCCGCCCACTAGATTTATTACTACTACTAAAATTACACTCTATAGCGGCATTATATAAATCATGTCATTTGTCAAATTCAATTCTCAATTCTATCATTTCTAGTTCTACCTATATGTATATTCCCTTTTGTCATCAACTGCTTATAGCAATGCGAGTCAATGCAATACAAGTTACAAATTTTATTATCTTTCTTCGCTATTGTAACTTATCAGTCTCTTGAAATTAATGTTCTTAGATGTGGAGACCTCACCCTCACAATAACTATACCAAAAACATATGTACTATCCTATCAAGGAAAATCTCTTGTTTTTTTTATAGATTCATCCACTTCAACAACTCAGTAAAAAGTACTTTGATAAAAAAATCGTTTATGTTTTTACAATGGTGGTGAATATGCACACCATTGTCATATTTCTATCCACCAATGGCATCTCTCATCTTGCTAGCCCACCACACATGCCTATAAATAATGGATATCTGATAGTCGTCATTGATATATTGTTGAAATTGGTCCGGTCTCTCTGTCTTCCGTATCTTGTGTATATTCCACCTTCCTATTGGACTAATACTTTCCACCATGACAGGCTACTTATAAATTGTATGCTCACTCCCACACTTTACTACTCTTCTCCATATGGACTGATTCGCCTCACAATTGTTCTAAACCTTGCATTTGATTGCTTCTGCTACCTATCACTTCACATGTGTTCCATTTGAATCTCACTTCAAACTTTGTTTCTTCCTCAATAACTCTCTTGTGCAGAGTGCCTACTCAGCCTAAAGACCATCACATCCAAAATCTTTGACTCTCATCATATACAATTTGCTGAGTCTATCTTTCCCGTTATAACTCTTTTCTTGGTTCATTGCACCTCTAAAGAAGCAATCTCATTGTGTTGTCCTCCTTTCTCTTTGTGTTGTCTTCCTTTCATACTTATACTCCCTTTCATTCATGCCACCCACAATGTCCCCTCTTTTAACATCACTATATATACAGCCTCCACACCAAACCAACCACAACAACATCCCCACCCCCATCTCCCTTCACAATCAACCGGACTCCCTCCCACCCCATCAACACTCACTGAATGACCACCACCTAAGACTAAAATAACTTCTACAAACCAATCTAAAAACTCACACTCACAACCAACTAATTCCTGAACCTGAACTCACCACCATAACCCAAACACTAAAAAAATCATAATATATGTTGAGTTAGTCCCAATGGATATGATATATTTTGTTCAAAATGAAACATGAGCACTTATTCCCTCACCTTCACCCAAAACCTAGTTGGGTAAAGGTGGGTCTTTTAGATTAAATATATCCCGATGGCTCCATAGACATGTGCAAAAATCGATGGATGGCCAATGTTTTTCACCAATTTCTAGGAGTAAACCATAATGATACTTTCAATCCAATTATTAAGATTGCCGCTATATTATTGATTCATAATATAGGTGTTAGTTGATGATGATTTTTCTGGCAACTAGATGTCAACTATGAATTTCTCCAAGGCCATCTTCTGAGGACGTTTTCATGGCTCAACTCCCAGCTTCATTGACACATCATCCTACACATTTATGCATGATTCAGAAAGTCTTCTATGGCCTCAATCAAGTACTCTGTGTTTGACATTATTACGTTACTAATTTATGACTACTTATATCTTTAGCAATTCCCTTGTACCTCTCTCTTCATCCTCAACACTAGTGACACAGTTATATATCTTCTAGTTTATATTGATGATATCAACATCACTAGTAATTGAAATAGACACTTCGATATGTTTTCAAAACATGTGAAAACACCCTTAAAAGTATTTTAACAATTTCAAGAAACAAACCATTTTGTTTTTAAAAATAAAAAATAAAATAAAATATGATGAAGAAGAATGTTTTTTCTTGTTTTATTACCTATTTTTTGGGGAAAAAACATAAAACAAAAGTGAATGAAAGGATGCCCTAAATAAAGAGTAAGTTCAACAATCATGTTTTCATTTTATGTTTTTGGAAACCGAATGAGTTGTTTCCTAAAATTGTGAAAACTCTTATTAAGGTATTTTACATGTTGTGGAAAATGCCTCAGTGTTTGTTTTGATTAATCAAGCTAATTATGCTAATTGGATATTAGTTATATCAATTAAATATCAATTTGATGGATCAATGGTTAATTAGTGCTATAATAAAGATCATTAAGAATGTATAAATATTTAATAATTTTGATAATTATGTTTAGGATAATTTAATATAACAATTGATTAAAATAATTCTTATTAATTTTATTATAGAATAGTTATAGCTTAAATGATGATCACTAACTATTATTATTATTTTAATCATAATATCATGCCAAGTATAATTAATAATTGATTGATTATATAAAAAAATTGTAATTAATTATTTATCTAAGTTAATTTGAAAATAATTACATCTAGAACTTTTTTTTAAGATATTATTACTATTTATTAAGTATAATCAAGGCTAATAATTATATTTGCATTAAACGCATAATGCTCCATGATAGCTTGATTTACATTATATCAATCAAAAGGCTTCTTGAGTCAGCACTTAGTAGGAAAGGGACTGAATCACCTTGACTACTATGGAGTTTGTGGGCTTAGAGATCATCCATAATAGAACTTATATAAATACATTGATGACTAAGTAATGAGGACATCAATGCACGGAAAGTTTATCATAGAAGGGGCCGTAGATCAATGACCAAGATTGAGTCATTATATTATTAGTTATTGTGTGTGTTGTATGTGAATTAATTTAGTTTGTGAACTTTTCCTTATTATTATGTTGTAAGCCCAATGGCATTTGTGAACTTTTCCTTAATGTTATGTTATAAGCCCAAGAGCATTTGTGCCTTTTTGTCTTGTCATGTGGTGGTGCCTCTCTCTCTCTCTCTCTCCCCCTCCCCCTCCCCCACCACCCAAATCTCTTATAAGGTGATGATGATTATTTTAAATGAATTTTGATTTAAGCTCTATTATCTTGTGTGAGAGTGAGTGTGTTGAAGTGGTGAAGCCTTAGGAGAAGGCAAATGAAGTACCAAACGGCCCATTAAGGTGAGCTCTTGGTTTCCCCCTTGTATCTCTTCCCCTTCCACTCCTTCCTCCATAGCCACCGATTAGCCCCCCCCCCTCGGCCAGGCATTTGGGGAAAAAACATAAAACAAAAGTGAATGAAAGGATGCCCTAAATAAAGAGTAAGTTCAACAATCATGTTTTCATTTTATGTTTTTGGAAACCGAATGAGTTGTTTCCTAAAATTGTGAAAACTCTTATTAAGGTATTTTACATGTTGTGGAAAATGCCTCAGTGTTTGTTTTGATTAATCAAGCTAATTATGCTAATTGGATATTAGTTATATCAATTAAATATCAATTTGATGGATCAATGGTTAATTAGTGCTATAATAAAGATCATTAAGAATGTATAAATATTTAATAATTTTGATAATTATGTTTAGGATAATTTAATATAACAATTGATTAAAATAATTCTTATTAATTTTATTATAGAATAGTTATAGCTTAAATGATGATCACTAACTATTATTATTATTTTAATCATAATATCATGCCAAGTATAATTAATAATTGATTGATTATATAAAAAAATTGTAATTAATTATTTATCTAAGTTAATTTGAAAATAATTACATCTAGAACTTTTTTTTAAGATATTATTACTATTTATTAAGTATAATCAAGGCTAATAATTATATTTGCATTAAACGCATAATGCTCCATGATAGCTTGATTTACATTATATCAATCAAAAGGCTTCTTGAGTCAGCACTTAGTAGGAAAGGGACTGAATCACCTTGACTACTATGGAGTTTGTGGGCTTAGAGATCATCCATAATAGAACTTATATAAATACATTGATGACTAAGTAATGAGGACATCAATGCACGGAAAGTTTATCATAGAAGGGGCCGTAGATCAATGACCAAGATTGAGTCATTATATTATTAGTTATTGTGTGTGTTGTATGTGAATTAATTTAGTTTGTGAACTTTTCCTTATTATTATGTTGTAAGCCCAATGGCATTTGTGAACTTTTCCTTAATGTTATGTTATAAGCCCAAGAGCATTTGTGCCTTTTTGTCTTGTCATGTGGTGGTGCCTCTCTCTCTCTCTCTCTCCCCCTCCCCCTCCCCCACCACCCAAATCTCTTATAAGGTGATGATGATTATTTTAAATGAATTTTGATTTAAGCTCTATTATCTTGTGTGAGAGTGAGTGTGTTGAAGTGGTGAAGCCTTAGGAGAAGGCAAATGAAGTACCAAACGGCCCATTAAGGTGAGCTCTTGGTTTCCCCCTTGTATCTCTTCCCCTTCCACTCCTTCCTCCATAGCCACCGATTAGCCCCCCCCCCTCGGCCAGGTACCCCTTTCACCGCCCACGGCAAGCCCTCCATCACCACTTCTCCATCCAAGTCCCCAATCCAAAATTTTCAACTCTGAAGTTTTGACATGTGGGATTCCAATTGGACACCACTTGTCTCTTGGAATTATGAAATCAGAAGTTACTTCTCTCCTCCTTTTTATTTTTAAAATTAGTTGGGAATTCGAAAAGCCACAACCCCTTCCCTTTCCCATGGTTGGCCCACTCTTGGAACTCTCCATATTAATTAATGAGAAGTTGACCCATTAATTGCAAAGTTTACTTTAACTTTTCCTCTTTTCAAAACTACTTCTTTGTTTTCCAATCCCACTCTCCTCTCCTTTTCATTTTCAAAATTAGTTGGGAATTTGAAAATCCACAACCCCCTTCCCTTTCCTTTAGATGGTTCACTCTTGGAACTCTCGATGATAATTAATGGGAAGTTGACTCATTAATTGCAAATTTCACTTTAACTTTTCTCCATTTCAAAACTACTTCTCCATTATCCAACCCCACTCTCTCCCATTCCCCTAAGCCCCACCACTCTAATTAATCTCACACCATTCCTAATCTTCCCCAAATAGCAAAAACCGTGGCCTCCCTCCTTCCAAATTTTGGCCAACATCTATTCTTCTCCATTGTGAAGCAAGACACAAGGAAGGCACTACGGAGCAACCCTTTAAAGATTAACCGATGAGACCCCACCACATATGAAGGAAGCTTCCCTGCGACGCAAGTACCTAAGTCTTTCTACTCTTACTTCATATATTTAAGTAGATATTTTTTTGAAGTCCAATTCTATGTGGCATCACTATTTTCATGTTAATTTAAATCCCAGTAGTTTCTTAAATCATTGAGTGCATGATTTTTGTAGTGACTAATCTATGTTAAATGTTGGATCTTTTTGCCAACCCATGTTAGCTAAGTTATTGATTTAATTTATCCTTCTTGAATTCTAGAACTTTGGTTGTGATTAATTACTATTTTTGAATTGCTTTTCTTACTTGTTTTGAAGCTTGTTTTATGCATCCCTATGATTAATAACTTGCTGATTTTAAATCCAACTTGTGCTTAATTTCATAATGTAAGTCTTGACATGCTAGTCCTATACCATTTTGGGTAGCAATGAGATACGCATTAAGAGAGTCAACAGCCTTGTTCCAAATTGCCTTCGTCGAATTATTAAAGTCCCTTTCCAGCTATTAAGTCATGCTAGTGCGCCCGCGCCCAACCATATGCATTAGGGTTGGTATGCCACGAGTCATTGGCTTTTTTCAGGTTAGGGTTCAGGTGCTCTAGTTAGAATGAAATATTCCCCAGGTTAGGTTGGGGCTTATTAGTCTGGTTTGGCTCGGTCTGTCTTAAACGCAAGTATAGACACTTGAAAATTCATTAATGCCTTAAGATCCAATCATGCCTCGAGACTCATGATGGTTTAGATAAATCCGCTCAAAATCCCAACCTTACAAACATTTTGTTAGCTTAACTTGATGTATCTTATAAGTTCATTTTTATGCATGGGCTCATCTGCGGTGCATCATTTTTATGTTGCTTTCTCAGAGAAATTTCACCTTAATTTTGATTTTGTCGATAACGCAACAAAAATATCTTCTCACATACACCTTTCTAGACTAGACGATCACATAGATCCCAATTGTGGGAGACTATTGTATTCTTGATTATTTTCTCTCTTACGCTTTGCTACAGAAATCAATGAATAGAGAAAAACTCCCTACTGCGTTATATTTTGCAGGATTTTGTGCCTTACATGTTGCCTGAAGCTATAAAGTCATTTAACATCCAAGATATGCTCTCCGTCTCATTATTAATTTATGTGATATGCATTCCATTGTCGTGATCAGGTTCTCTTTATAATATTTTACTATTAATCCTGCATGCAGCCAGAATGCCATTCATCTAGAACAGAAAGAAGGAAAAGAAAAGGACATGAGGAATCAGATTATTGCCGAAGCTGAGGAATTCAAACAAGCTTTCTATGAGAAGCGCAAGCTGAACCGTGAATCAAACATGACCAACAACAGAGAAAAAGAGAAGGTAAATTCCATCGTTCTTCCTATCTTACCTGCTCCTGACTCGTTAGAAATGTAATTTCCTCCTAAGATCTTGAGTTATCTTCCAGCTGTTTTTGAAGAACCAAGAAAAGTTCCATGCCGAAGCTGATAAGCAGTACTGGAAAGCTATAGCTGAGCTCATCCCCAATGAAGTGCCAAATATTGAGAAGAAGAGAGGAAAGAAAGATCCGGAGAAGAAACCATCCGTTGTAGTAATTCATGGACCAAAGCCAGGAAAGCCCACTGATCTTTCAAGGATGCGTCAGTTGTTGGTGAAACTGAAGCATACACCTCCACCACACATGAAGCCTCCTCCACCCCCAGCAAAAGATGCTGAAGTTGCTGCCAAAAAAGATGGAAATAAGGCAAAATCGCCGACAAAAGAAGCCACGTTGAAGAGTACTGCTAATACTACTCAAGCTTCTGCAGCAGCTGTAGAAGTGGAAATCGCTGCGGAGCCAGAACCAGCTTCTACTCAGTAATTGGACTGAATTACATTGGCCTCGTTCATCTCCAGGTGATTTAAGTTGCTTTATCATTCCATGTTTTATGAAATAGGTCTTTGTATGTTCCTTTGAGTGGCTTCAGAGAAGAAGCTGATAACTGTTTCTGTTCAATATTCTTTATAATCTTTTTACATTGGTTTGTACAAACTGGTTGTATGCGATAATTTTGCATTTTTTTTAAAATTTTGAAGAGTGTTGCTTGCCTTATTTGCCTACATGCTTAAATAGTAAACTTCTGTACTTTTGTTATTGGTTCAGTTCATCTTTGCTACGAACTTATAGAAGTTGTCATATTTTGCCCCTCTTGATTCATCATCTCATAATGCTTTTCTTAACAACAAGATCATTGAAATTTTAACCATTATAATGAGAATTTGGGGGAAATCTTTGGGCTGAGGAAAAAAAAAATGATATTCATTGCGTATTTTTAGCTGCCTCGGATTTCGGCTTAGATTGATAATGACTTGTCAATCTCATTGTTCTTTGACCCTTGAGATCAGGTAAAAGCCTTTTTGAACTCTATGATTATTAAATTTCTACAGCTATATCCACTGTTGCTTAGTTTGGTTGGTGGATGAGTACGGTTGGGAACCCCCCAACCCGTGCTCGATTCCCCTCGAGCTGTAGCGCCTCTTAAGTGGGGCCCAATCAAGTGCGGGCCAGGAGGTTTCTGGGGTGGGTGCCTCTTCTAGGTCAGCCGATGATTAGTCACGCCGCAAACGCCGCCAAGCGTCTGGGGGTGGTAGCAGGTGGATATTCCGTTAAAAAAAAAAAATCGCAGCTATTGCCTTCCTCACTCATTCACCTCTCTATTTTCATGGGTGGCTTTCTCTGGAATTAGAGGTTTGGTACATGACATGATAATTTCCTTCTTCATAACATGATATCGTAGTAAGGATTTCTCTCTTCTCATATTTGTCGAATTTTATTTGGACTAATTGGATTTTTCACGACTTTGAACTTCAAGCCGAGGGTGCTCTCCTTAAACATGATATTTCACGCTCACCCATTTACCCTCTGTCTCTCCTCTGTTAGATTGTGAAATCTCTCTCATCTTTTTTTTCTCTTATAATTTTATTTTTGAGCCGGTTCAATTGCGGATTGATGAATATAAATGCACTTTTTTCTTTCCACTGTTTATATGGTATTGGTAATCTCTGGTTAAATCTGTCTAGAAAGAAAAATACAATTCTTTCAATTTTGATCCAGGGGCATGACACGATGGTTGGAAAGATGACGACTTTTTTAAAGTCATAGTTGGATGGTGGCTTTGAGGCTAAACTAGAATGACGATGAAGGTAAGCTATTGTTGGATGATGGTGATTGAGAGACTGTGTAACGCTTATTGAATTCATGCACCTATTTTGATCCAGTCTCGTAAGGGTAACATATTGACTTTCAATGTTTAATAACTCTTCAATGTTTAATAACTCTTGTATGTGTCTATGAGTGTTTTATATGCATGTGTTTGAATCTATTTTTAAGCTGGTCCCAGGAGTCTATGTGCATGATTGAAATTTTTGAAATTTATTCCCAGGGAGCCACGACGATGGATAGGCTGTGCTGCCATATTAAGCTATTTATCTTTTTGCCAAATTAGTTTTAAGTTGCATCGTTGGGGGCGGTGCTGTGGCACTGCAAGGCTGAGCACCATAGTGCCTGATCAAAATTTTATAAAAATATCATTTTTAAATCAGTTTATATTTTATCAAATCTATATTCTCCCCTTAAGTGTAGTCGGTTGGTGAGAGAATAATTCCTAGATCGAGAAAGCTAGGTTTTTATGGACTCCAATTTGTTTTCTATTGTCAGATCAGTTTTGAAAGTTGTTTGGATTGATATATGTTACATTTTGATTACTCAATTTTCAAAAATACAAATTTTGTAGAATTTTTCTTATTTAATTTATAATGTTATAATGTAAAAATAGAAATAGTTTTGTAACCGTTAGATTTTCATCATGTAACGTTCTATATATTATAGAGACACTCATTATGGACATTTATGTATTTTTCTAAAAAAAAATTATACTAGATTTTTTGAAAATTTTGTTATTTTATTTAACTAGAAAAAATTATGATTCTAAAAAATAATATTGTAGTGTATAAATACCATATATACATTTTGATGATAAATGAAATGAAAATAATTTGTTGGATGAGTAGTTCATTTTATTTACTAGTAGTTAATTAGAAGCTTTGTGATATTAAAATGAAATCTGAAAAAGCCCTCAAAATTTGGATTTTGGGCTCGGTTTGTCACAAGTCAACATGATATGATATGTACTATATGTGGGTCGTATTGGGTTGGGGTGTGACAGATTGTGATAAGACCATAGCCATGCAACCATGGTCGGGGGACTGTAGTAGGCAAACATTGGTGGGGAAACTGTAGTGGGGTAATGGTGGTTGACTAGAGACCGTAGGTTAGCAACATTAATGGTTTGGAGACCATAATATGGTGATAGTGGTTGGTAGGCTATAGTCGAGAATTGGTGGTTGGGAGATTATAGTTAGGTAACAGTGCCAAAGGGACAGTGGTTAGATGGCGTCAGTTAGATATTGATGGTTGGGCGACAACTATCTAATGACAACAATTGTTCTATGATGTTTCAATGGAGTTATTTGATTGTGGTTAGACGATGATCGAACAATGAGAGCCCACCAGTATTATTAAAAAAACTTCTGCCCAACAGAGGTGGTCAGGTGATGGTGGTCAAATGGTTGCGATAGTTGGCAAGTGGTGGTCTAACGATGGTGATTATAATAGAGAATGGCTGGTGGTTGTAAGGTGGCAGAAGTTGGGCAATGATAATCTAATTGCGATGGCAAGGTTGCTACATTTTGATGATGATGGTCGAATGGCCAATAGCCAATAATAGTGCAAAGATTGTGGTCGAGTGGTCGCATTTTGAGAAATCCAACAAAAATCACAAAACACTATGTTAAACGACTTAAGCGATAACCTTGATCACAGATCTTCCTTTCAACATTTGAGTGCATTAATGATTTGACAATTAGGTGATATTAGGCTTGTTGGATTCTTTTCGATGATATGCTTGATCTGGTTATAAAAATGCAAGATTGGGATATTATTTGGTTATCCAATTAATATCACAAAGCTTACATCTATGCGTTAAGTGTTTGATCTGTGCTCGATTGGACTTAAATTGGATCACTTTTTGATGTTGTTGGCATGTTGGGTTCATTTCATCGAGATGTTAAATTCAATAATTTTGTTTTTTTTTTAATTGGAGTTTAGATGTTTCTAAATTTAGGCTCATTTGGGACAACTTTGGACAACTGATTTTCATTGCTTTCAATATATTTTTGTACTAGAAAATTGTCATAAAAAAACATTAAATAAATTGTCCCAAATGAAACATTAATTTTAAAATTTTTTCATCGATATATCCATCACAAAATTGTGCTTGATTAAGTGAAATTTCTTGTAATGTAATACTAACTTTTTATTGCATCCCATTTTTTAAGTGTTACATCAATACTTTTATTTAGGGTGTACATGTATATGAGTCTATGAGTCGGCATTATAAAAATAGTCAATAATTTGGATTGAAATATTCTGATCACATTATGTTTATGATGAATTTTAAAGATGTTGATTTACTTGAAATAAGTATATTATATGAATAATTAATCAACATTTATATTCTACTTATCTTAAGACAAAGCTAATGATTTTGAGATTTACAATGAGAAAAAAAAAATCTTAAGCTAATTTTTTCTTAAAGCTAATTTTTTTGTAATAAAAATATATGAGGCTTTTAAGAATCGTAAATACCAATTTATGACTGTCCAATATAAGGAGGGTCAGAACTCAGAATGGATAGTTATTTGCTATCTCATTAGTATTCGATGAATAAATCAACAAGTTTTTAGCAATGATGGCTTGGCCAATCCATTTTGCCAATTTCTAGTGGCTAGTCAACTTAGGCTTTTGTTTGATATAATTTTCTTATTGTCATGTTTTTTAGGCTACAATTATAATTTTTATTTGATTATTATGTTTTTTTTTTCACCTATTTTTAAATAAATTTTATGCTAGGATGTTGCTTTCCACATCGATTTTACAATTACATTTATAAAAACCTACAGCAATTCCAAACGAACCCTTAGATCTGATCGAAGTGGATTCTAAATTATTATATTTACTTAAAATTAATTATAATATATAATAAATATATTTAGGAGCTGTTTGGTTTGCTCTAAGATCGGTGCAAAGAATTTCAAATGCAAAGGCTTTGGAAATATTAATATTTGATTTTAAATATAAGAAATGCATAATTAAATCTTGAAGGAAAATGAATGCAGAAAAAAAGTTGAAGTAAATGAAGTTCATCCTCTAATTTAAATTCAGTGTATTTGGAATTTTTTATATTTGAACAATTTTCAAATACACCGGAAATTCAATGCAATTGCCGTCGCCTTTTGTTGTTACACGTCGCCCGCCGCTAACCATCACCGACCACCACCACTATCTCCGCCCACCGTCTATCATCTCCACGCTAGCCATTGTAGCCGGCCCCCACCAGTCACAACCGGCGGTGGCCATTAGCACTGTCAGCCACTACCAACCCCCGGCTACCACCACCATCGTCGGCCACCACTGTCGCCAGCCGTTGCTTGTCACCACTACCGCCTACCACTATCTTTTTGCACTTTACTTTGCATTCATTTTACTTTAAAATAAATAAAAAAAGTAATCTCATGCATTCTTTTTTGCAATCATCCAAATAATTTCAAATTATTTTTTAAACTATATACATATATATTTTACATTATATTTATTTTTTAGATAATCAAACATCCTCTTAATAATTTTGAAATAATCATAACAACATATTTTTATTTTTGTCCAATTTTTTTCCTCTAACTATAGTTGACGTCCACCCGTTTCTGAAGAATGAGAAAATAAATAAGGCGGTTCATGAATGGCCAAGGAATTTGGCAGGTTCTCAGTGCCTCAGGGGAAATGGAAGTTGCACTGCGCCGCTAGGGTTTTTGCTTTTCCTCCATTGCGCCACCTGTGCTTCAAGCCCGCCAGGGGGTTACTCCCTCTCCCCTCCTCTTTATGGCTAGAAATCTCTTGGATTTTCTACCTCTTTCCACCTCTTCTCTACTTGGCCCACCACCATCATCCCCTATGCTTTCGTATGCAAATTTTCTTTCATCTTCGGAGCTTCCCTCAGATAACTTTTTGGTGTCCCCCCCCTCTCAAAACCCAGAAGCTCTCTTTCAAGGTCGATGACCTATGCGAAGGTTGGTTACTCGATCAGACAAAGGCCGTATTATGAACGACTTCTTGCTTCGATGAAAAAAACTGAGGCCATTCGAAGGTTCTCTCTTATTGCTCTCTCTTTTGGATGGCTTTTTTCTTTCGAAATTCAATAACAACAACGATTACAATATAGTTTGGTCGGGAGGACTATGGTACCTCCGAGTAAACCTTTTATCCTGCAAAAATTGTCTCTTAAATTCAAGCCTAAACGAGATGAACTCGCCTCCATCCCCTTATGGATAAAAATTTTAAATGTTCCATTGGCTCTCTGGACTCCTTATGATATCTCCAAACTTGCCAGTTACATTGGTATCTCTCTTTTAATTGACTCTCTTACGGCCAAGTGTTCTCAGTTAAACTTTGTCAGGATCTGTGTCCATATCTCTAAATCTTCTCCTCTACTTGATGAAATCCATATCAATATAGATGGAGAAGATCAAGTCCTTAAAGTTATTTATGACTGGAAGCCAATCCCATGTGAAACTTACGGTTCCCTCGATCACCCCTTGAACTTGTGTCCTTCTAACCCTCCTCCCACTGTCCCCCCCCCCAAGGTGACTTCGCTCCCCCCCACTCTAAACTTCTCCCTTAACCAATATACTTCAAAACAAAATTCCCCTCCCCGTAACCCTAAATCCTTTAGAGCCTAATCTGCCAAAAAGGAAAATCCATCCTCCTCAAAATCCCAATGAATTTCTCCCCTTTTGCTTGTTGAAATGTAAGGAGGTTTAATAGGTCTATGAAGGTTTAATCCTGCAATTAAATATTTCATTAGTCTTCACAAGTTGAAATTGTTCTGCATTTTGGAAACTAATATTCAGGAGTATATGATTTCTAATCCTTGGTTCTCCGACTCTTATAAGCTCTTTAATAAGGAGGAAAGTTATAATAATTTTTGTTATTCCTCTCATGGTAGAATCTAGATTAAACGGGACACTTATTCTATGTCTTTTTCCCCCTCACTTCTCCCCCCTCCCCAAATTATTCATGGGATCCTCTCTATGGGCTCCTCTTCCCCAATTTATCTTTCTGCCATTTACGCTGCTAACTCACAAGAGGAAAGGAGATCTCTTTGGGCTCACCTTAGAGACTTGGCCAATATTATTACACAAACTTGTATTATTGTGGTTGATTTCAAATGTTCCATATATGAATTTGAGAAAGCTGGGGGGTAATTAGTCAC